GGCTGAGCTGAAGCTTTGTGGTCACAGTCCCAGGCAATTTCTTTTAGACTTCATATCACTTCTTCCCATCTATCCACCTTCAACTGTGGATATCTATTCAGGAAAGCAGGCAGTGGAGATGTAATGTGTGGGGAAAGCACATGTGCTAGGTTAGCACTGCTTTCAGAGTGACAGTGTGCCTCAAGGGGGAGAAGTCAAGCTCCTTTCAAAGTGAAGGATACCCATTGAAACCACCAGCTGTCACACCCATAACCCTGAACTTCATTCTCTGCCCTAAAATTTGGTAAAAGGAGAGATTATGATTCCTATTTAGCAAGAATGAATTGGTCATCTTTTGGCTTGAAACCAGAATTCGAAGTGTGTGAAGACAGAGTGAGAATGAGGTCACTGGAGGAAAAGGGACTGTTTTGAGCCCTCTTGGAGCTGCTGTCACTTCATTCAAAAGGTGTCAACTCAGCCTCACCCATGGAGATGAGAGACTCATAGTTGCCTTTCATGATATTCTTGTAAAGTTCCTTTTGCCATTCTTCTAATTTTTCCCACTCTGGAGTGGAAAAGTAGATGGAGACATCATCAAATGCCACAGGCACCTAAAATTACAATCACATGGGTTAGTTCCTCCCATTATAATTCAGTCATTCAATAAATCTCTTTCCCCCAATTAGTTCCTTTTATTTTATTTTACATTTTCAAAGGGTGGTCAATAAATATTCTAAATATCTCTGAAACAGTTTCTTTTAACGCTTCACTTGTCATTAGTAAATCCTAAAATCCCAGTACTCATGCAATACAGCATGAGTACCTTAAATAAAGCTGGGACCTTTTCTTGAGGCACATTCCAGTATTCTGGTAAGCAGTAATAAAATATCTAAATACCATGTATGTTAAAACTTCAGGCTTTATTGAGTCTTTGATTTCACCCCTTTTAAAATGCCTTTTCTCTAAGAACATCACTCTCCAGGAGATCCAAAATTCCTCTATTTGTTTTCTTTGTGTTGTTTCTATTACCTCCAGTCTTTTGCCAAGTACAGAGTTCCCTTTGATGCTGTTCATCCTGCACATGAGGAGGAAAGGATAATACCATGGCTGATGACTGAGAGCAAACAGGATTGACTTTGGAGGCATGTTAGGAACCAAAATTAAACTTCAAAATTCATTATGGCTTCTGTGTGTATCCTTTAGTCTTTTCTGAAGCTTTGCATATTCTTCAAATGGAACATTTTGTCTATTTAAAACCCAATTTTGTTTCCATTTCTTCTCTACCTGCCTCCCAGATTTACACCTTGTCCTGCCATCTCTTCAATTGTTTTCAGGGGAAGATTTCCTCTTTTTCTGGGCAACTGCAGCTCACTGCAATTTCTCTTTAGCTTGACTACACATTTCTCTGAGATGCTTTTCTTCTAACTGCTGTATCTGTTCTTTTTTCAATGTCTTTTTGACTTCTAGTTAGACTTTTTCAGCTTGATTTCTTATATTTCAGCATTCCTGTTTTAATGTCTTCATCGTTTCCTTCAGCATTTGGTTTGAACTCTGAAAGTGAGGTAGCTTGGATCTGAAAACTACTGATTTACTATTCCAGGTCAAAATTTTCATTTTTTTTCTTTCTCTGCATTTTTTTTTTAGAGACAGAGTGTCACTGTACACCCAGGCTGGAGTGCAGTGGCGCGATCTCATCTCACTGCAACCTCTGCCTCCCGGGTTCGGGTTCAAGCAATTCTCCTGCCTCAGCCTCTCGAGTAGCTGGGATTACAGGCGCCTGCCACCACACACCGCTAATTCTTGTATTTTTAGTAGAGATGGAGTTTCACCATGTTGGTCAGGCTGGTCTCGAGCTCCTGACCCGTGATCCACCACACCCGGCCTCCCACAGTTTCTTTTCACACTGATGCTTTTCAGATTGCTTCCAGACATCGTGCTCCACTTTCATTTTCTATCTGCTAACTTGTTCTCAAATTCTTCTAGCTTTTCTTCCTGTAATACCACAAATCTTTTACAACCTTCTTCCTTGGCATCTGGTGCCTTACATATTAACACATGATCTTTTTTTACTAAGGGCACTTTGTGGTGTTCAATAGCTGGTCTGAGAATTTCATTGTCTAACTGTAAACTATCCAGTTTACTTTGAATCTTTTTCCTTTCCCTTTCTAGCTGACTCTTGTTGCCTCTAGTTTCATGGCTGTTATTTCTAGTATGTTTGAAAGTTTCGTTTTTTGACTTTAGTGGTCAGTGTATTTCTTTCTTTAAGATTGAGTCTTGCTTGGTCACCCAGGCTGGAATGCAGTGACACTATCTCAGCTTACTACAACCTCTGTCTCCTGGATTCAAGCAATCCTCCTGCCTCAGTCTCCCGAGTAGCTGGGATTACAGGTCCACACCACCACGCCTGGCTAATTTTTGTATTTTTAGTAGACACGGGGTTTCACCATGTTGGTCAGGCTGGTCTTGAATTCCTGACCTCAAATGATTCACCTTGCAGGGCGTGGTAGCTCACGCCTGTAATCCCAGCACTTTGGGAGGCCGAGGCGGGCAGATCACTTTGGGAGGCCGAGGCGGGCAGATCACGAGGTCAGGAGATTTAGACCATCCTGGCTAACACGGTGAAACACCGTCTCTACTAAAAATACAAAAAATTAGCCAGGCGTGGTGGCAGGCGCCTGTAGTCCCAGCGACTCAGGAGGCTGAGGCAGGAGAATGGTGTGAACCTGGGAGGCGGAGCTTGCAGTGAGCTGAGACTGCGCCACTGCACTCCAGCCTAGGCAACAGAACAAGACTCCATCTCAAAAAAAAAAAACCCAAAAAACAAAACAAAACAAAAACCAAAAATTCACCTACTTCAGCCTTCCAAACTGCTGGGATTACAGGCGTGAGCCACTGCCACCATGCCCAGCCTGGTCAGGGTATTTCTTTCTTGTTCAGTTTTATGTAATCTTTAATGATTAAAAAGGTATTTTGGCCAGGCGTGGTGGCTCCTAGCACTTTGGAAGGCCAAGGCAGGTGGATCACCTGAGGTCAGGAGTTTGAGACCAGCCTAGCCAACATGGCGAAACCCCGTCTCTACTAAAAATACAAACATTAGCTAGGCGTGGCCGTGTGCAGTGGCTCACACCTGTAACCCTAGCACTTTGGGAGGCCGAGGCAGGTGGATCACCTGAGGTTGGGAGTTCAAGACCAGCCTGACCAACATGGAGAAACCCCGTCTCTACTAAAAATACAAAATTAGCTGGCGGTGTGGTGGCACATGCCTGTAATCCCAGCTACTCGGGAGGCTGAAGCAGGAGAACTGATTGAACCCAGAAGGTGGAGGGTGCAGTAAGCCAAGATCACACCATTGCACTCCAGCCTGGGCAACAAGAACGAAACTCTGTTTAAAAAAAAAAAAAATTAGCTGGGCATGATGGTGCATGCCTGTAATCCCAGCTACTCAGGAGGTTGAGGCAGGAGAATCGCTTAAACCTGGGAGGCGGAGGTTGCAGTGAGCTGAGATCACCCCACTGCATTCCAGCCTGGGCGACAGGAGCAAAACTCCATCTTAAAAACAAACAAAAAAACCAGGTATTTTGTTCATTGTTTGATTGTGGCTCTTTTTCCGAGCATTTAACTTATAGTTTAGGTGACGTTTTTGGCCTCCTGGGACCTGACTGTAACCGCATCTCAGCCAACTGCCACACCTGTGTTCTTAGGACATTTTCTAACTGAGCACCAGAATTCTCTTTTTCAGCCCCTAAATCTGCTACTTTAGCTTCCATATATATATATGTATGTGTGTGTATGTGTATATATATATATATATATATATATACATACACACACACACAGTAGCACCTGTAGTCCCATCTACTTGAGAGGCTGAGGTAGGAGAATGGCGTGAACCTGGGAGGCGGAGCTTGCGGTGAGCCAAGATCGCGCTACTGCACTCCAGCCTGGGCGATGAAGCGAGACTCCATCCCAAAAAAAAAAAAGAAATAATTAGCCAGCTGTGGTATTGCACACCTGTAGTCCCAGCCACTTGGGAGGCTGAGGCAAGAGGCTCACTTGAGCCTTAAGGCTGCAGTTAGCCAAGATAGCACCACTACACTCCAGCTTGGGCAAAAGCAAGACCCTGTCTTGAAGAGAATATAAATAAATAAAAATAAAAATAAATCTCTAATTCAAATTTTAGGGTTTTTTTCTAAACTACATGCAAATTCTTCTTCCTAGTGTTTCAGATTCTGATTGAAGAAATTTATGTTTATAGCAAAGCTTTCATCTCTATACTTTTCCACTTCTTCATCCCAATTGCAAAAACACTGGAGTTTCTAATTCTTGTTTTATTTGGGCTTTTAACAATTACCCCCTTTTTTTTTTTTTGAGTTAATACCTGAAGCTTCATTTCTTCGAAGTCCTTAGCTTTTCTACTAATTCCCCTCTTAGTTCTTCAAGCAGGTGCTGAAGTTTTTCCTGGTATATTTGCTTTTCATTTAATAGGTGCTTGAGTAGTTCTGGCATCTTTATGTACTCATCCTGCCACCTTGTATGCCTGTATGTTAGGCATTCAGAATCTGTTAACTAGTTGTTTTTGTGTTTTGTTTTGTTTTTAAGACAGGGTCTCACTCTGTCACCCAAATTGGGGTGCAGTGATGTGATCATGGCTCCCTATAGCCTTGACCTCCTGAGCTCAGGTGATCCTTCCATTTCAGCTTCCCAAGTAGCTGGGACGACAGGCACACGCCACTATGGCAAGTCAATCTTTAGAAATAATTTTTGTGGGCATGGGTCTGGCTATGCTGCCCGGACTGGTATCCTACACCTGGCCTCAAGCAATCCTCTGAGCTCAGCCTCCCAAAGCCCTGGAATTACAGGCTTGAGTCACCACACCTGGCCTAAAAACTAGTTTTTACCTTTCCTCAGTTAATATTTTTTGGAAGTCAGGTTGTCAGCCCACTGTCTCTAGTAGGAAAAAAAAAGTTGGGAAAAGATCCTGGTGGCAAGGAGCCAGAGCAAAGAGGAGAAGGGAGAGACAGGGTGAGGAGGTGGTGGTGGGACAGGGAGGAGGTAGGGCAAAGAGGAGAAGACACAGTGCCAAAGGGGCACTGGGGAAATCTGAGGAATCCTGGGAAAGCTCCAAGGGTGAAGAGGGCAGTGTTGGAGAAAGCCCCCCTCCTCCTGACAGGCTTGCTTGGGTTGCGGAGCAGACACCATCTCAGCCAGCAGCCCACCCTGACTCCAGCCCCCCCAGTCTAAAAATCTTTACTATTTACTAAGTGTTTTCTGACTGCAAAAAACTATATGGGGTACTGAAAGGATACAGGAAAAATAAGACACAGAGCAATCTCTAGGAGTTCACAATGTTTTCAAGAAGAAAGGTGATAATCTAAAGCTATGAGCTTCAGGAGGGTGGAGGACATTACTTCTAAACAGTTACTCAGAGTTAGATACAAACACAAAGTGTACTTAATTCACACAAGAAATCATTCTGAGTATCCACTACATACAAGGTTTTCCCTAAGCACTGAGATAATTAAAATATGGTTTCTGCCCCAAAGGGGAATTTGACTATCTGCAAATGAATGACATGGACAAGACACGGGGCTGGCATGACTCTAAAAGAGATGTAACTTTGGCTAGTCCTAATGGGGATGGAGAAAACATTCAAGTGAGGGAAACTGAAGAGTGCATTCAGAGGAGGACTGTGAATTCTGCCTCGTTGGGGTTAAGACTGCATGTAGGGAATGACCATATGCAGAAGAGAATCCCACTTCCTAGTATAGACTGGTCTAAAGCTAGGCACTTATCCCTAGGCAAAAACTGGAAAGTTATTCTGTGAAGAAATCCCAGAGTTTTCTAGGAAAATTAAGGTACTCGGCCAGGTGCAATGGCTCATGCCTGTAATCCCAGCACTTTGGGAAGCCAAGGCAGGTGGATCACCTGAGGTCAGGAGTTCAAGACCAGCCTGGTCAACATGGTGAAACCCTGTCTCTACTGAAAATACAAAAATTAAAAAAGCAAAACAAACCAAAAAAAACCCACAATGAGGCCAGGCGCAGGGGCTCACACTGTAATCCCAGCACTTGGGAGGACAAGGCAGGCTAATCACTTGAGGTCAGGAGTTCGAGACCAGCCTGGTCAACATGGTGAAAGCCTGTCTCTAATAAAAATACAAAAAAAAAAAAATTAGCTGGGCGTGGTGGCACACACCTATAATCCCAGGTACTTGGGAGGCTCAGGCACAAGAAATGCTTGAACCTAGGAGGCAGATATTACACTGAGCTGAGATTGTACCAATGCACCCCAGCCTGGGTGACAGAGCAAGACTCTGTTAAAAAAAAAAACAACAACCCACAATTAGGTATTATCTCACCCCACTTAGAATGGTCAATTATCTAAAAGACAAAGAATAATGAATGCTGGTGAAGATGCACAGAAAGGGGAACTCTGATACACCATTGGTGGGAATGTAAATTATTACAGCCGTTATGTAAAACAGTATGGAGGTTCAAAAAACTAAAAACAGAATTACCCTAGGTTCCAACAGTCCCACTGCTGGGTATATATCCAAAGGAAGGGAAATCAGTAACTGATGAGATATTTGCACTTCGATGTTTATAGCAGCACTATTCACAACAGCCAGGTGATGGAATCATCCTAAGTGCCCATCAATGGATGGACTTGAAAAAGGTGATATATATATATATATATATATGTATATATATATATACAAACACACACAATGGTATACTATGAAGCCATAATAAAAAATGAAATCCTGTCATTTGCAGCAACATGGATGAATCTGGAAGACATTATGTTAAATGAAATAAGCCTGGCACAGAAAGTTAAACACCATGGCCAGGAACAGCGGCTCACGCCTGCAGTCCCAGCACTTTGGGAGGCCAAGGTGGGCAGACCGCTTGAGCCCAGAAGTTAGAGACCAGTCGGGGCAAAAGCTGATCTCAGTAGGAGAGAGTAGAATGGTGGTTACTAGAGGCTGGGAAGGGTAGTGGGTGGAGGAGATAGGAAAAAGTCAGTTAACAGACAAAAAAGTACAGCTAGATTAAAGGAGTAAGTTCTAGCATTATATAGTATTGTATGGTTACTATAGTTAACAATAACTTATAGCTAAAAGAGAGGATTTTTTTTTTTTCTTAGATGGAGTCTCACTCTGTCGCCCAGGCTAGAGTGTGGGGGCGCAATCTCGGCTCACTGCAAGTTCCGCCTCCCAGGTTTACTCCATTCTCCTGCCTCAGCCTCCCAAGTAGCTGGGACTACAGGTGCCCACCACCACACCCAGCTAATTTTTTGTATTTTTAGTAGAGACCCCCATATCAGCCAGGATGGTCTCGATCTCCTGACCTCATGATCCACTTGCCTTGGCCTCCCAAAGTGCTGGGATTACAGGCGTGAGCCACCGCACCCGGTCTAGAAGAGAAGATTTTTTGGTGTTCGAAACACAAAGAAATGATAAATGCTTCAGGTGATGGATATGCTAATTACCCTCATTTTATCATTACAGTTTATACAAATGTATCAAAGTATCACACTGGCTGGGCCTGGTGGCTCACACCTGTAGTCCCAGAACTTTGGGTGGCTGAGGCAGGCGGATCATCTGAGGTCAGGAGTTCGAGACCAGCCTGACCAACATGGTGAAACCCTGTCTCTACTGAAAATACAAAATTAGCTGGGCATGGTGGCACATTCCTCTAATCTAAGTGCTGGGATTACCGGTGTGAGCCACCACGCCCGGCCATGAATACTAAATTTAAATTATCCCAAGAACTTCTGGAGGAGCTCCAGATCCACAAATAAAATGTACTATGGAGAAGGTTCTCTATGAGAAATGTCTCTAATATCCTTCCCAGGTACTTCCTCATCCTCCACCACACTTCACAGAAAAATCTGAAAGAGTCGTTGATCATCTTTCCATTTTCTCTCTTCCCATTCACTCTTCAAAACCTGCTCCATTCAGTCTTCTATCCTACCAGTCCACACAAGCAATTATTGTAAAAGCCACCAGTGACATCTACGTAGACAAATCATACTCACTGTTCTCATCTTTCTAAACCTCCCAGTAACATAGTTAACACAAATGACAATTCTCTACTTGGCATGCTTTTTATTCTCCTTGGCCCTGTGACACCACATACTTTCTTGTTTGTTTTTTCCTCTACCTCATCAGCCTTTCCTTCTTTTTTATTTTTATTTTTATTTTTTGGGGGGGACGGACTCTTGCCCTGTCGCCCAGGCTGGAGTGCAATGGCATGATCTCAGCTCACTGCAACCTCCGCCTCCTGGGTTCAAGCAATTCTCCTGCCTCAGCCTCCCTAGTAGGTGGGACTACAGGCGCCTGCCACCACGCCTGGCTAATTTTTTTGTATTTTTAGTAGAGACAGGGTTTCACCATATTGGCTGGGCTGGTCTTGAAATCCTGACCTCATGATCCGCCCACCTGAGCCTCCTAAAGTACTGGGATTACAGGCATGAGCCATGGTGCTGGCCCAGCCTTTCCTTCTTAATCTTCTCTGCTGGCTCCTCCTACCCCAGGAGCGTGGTCCTGGACTTTTTTTTTCTTTGAGACAGTCTCGCTGGAGTGCAGTGGCACGATCTCTGCTCACTGCCACCTCTGCCTCCCGGGTTCAAGCAATTCTCCTGCCTCAGCCTCCCGAGTAGTTGTGACTACAGGCGAGCACCACCACGGCCAGCTAATTTTTGTACTTTTAGTAGAGATGGGGTTTCACCATGTTGGCCAGAATGGTCTTGATCTCTTGACCTTGTGATCCACCTGCCTTGGCCTCCCAAAGTGCTGGTATTACAGGCGTGAGCCACCACGCCCAGCTGGTCCTGGACTTTCTCAGTCTACTAAACGTCTCTCCTGAAAGTATCACAGGCATTTCAAACCTAACATTGTCAAAGGTGAACTCCTAATTTCCTCCCACCTCCAAGGCCACACTTCCTCAAGTTATTCCTCTCAAGGAAACGCCAACACCATCTACCCAGTTCTTCAAGTCAAAAGCCTGAGTCAGTAAACCTGACGTGGTTAAGAGCATCTGCTCTGGAACCAACCTAGTTAAAACACAACTTTGTTATTTATATTAAGTAACTATGTGATCTCAGGCAAGTTGGGTTATTATGAGACTCATATGCCTTAAAATAAGTAGAACACTTAGAATAGTAAATTCTAACTAAATTACCACACAGTAAATTTATAATTATTGTTCTTTTTTTTTTGAAATGGAGTTTCACTCTTGTTGCCCAGGCTGGAGTTCAGTGGCACAATCTCGGCTCACTGCAACCTCCACCTCCTGGGTTCAAGCAATTCTCCTGCCTTAGCCTCCCAAATAGCTGGGATTACGGGCATGTACCACCACGCCCAGCTAATTTTTTTGAATATTTAGTAGAGATTTATCTATGTTGGTCAGGCTGGTCTCAAACTCCTCACCTCAGATGATCCACCTGCCTCAGCCTCCCAAAGTGCTGGGATTATAGGCATGAGCCACCGCAACTGGTCTAAAATTACTGTTCCTAACGCCTTATTTCCTAATTCCCACCAGTACCTGTTTTTTTGTTTGTTTTTTTTTGAGATGAAGTCTCACACTGTCACCGGGGCTGGAGTGCAGTGGCGCGATCTCGGCTCACTGCAACCTCTCCGTCCCAAGTTCAAGTGATTCTCCTGCCTCAGCCTCCCAAGTAGCTGGGATTACAGGTGCCCACCACCACGTCCATCTAATTTTTTTTGTATTTTTAGTAGAGACGGGGTTTCACCACGTTGGCCAGGCTGGTCTCAAACTCCTGACCTCATGACCTGCCCACCTTGGTCTCCCAAAGTGGTGTGATTACAGTCGTGAGCCACTGCACCTGGCCTTCCCATCAATAACTCTTATTGTCAGTTCTACCACCAAACATCCTGTATCTGTCCACTTCTCTCCATCTCTGCAACTGCTACCCTCATCCAAGCCACCTACATCCCTCCTTGCCTTAGTATTTCCTCCCTCCCTTCTTCAGTTCTTGCCTCCACGATTCATTCTCTACAAAGCAGCCAAAG